GATTGCTCCAAAACAAATACTCGATGATTCACAAAGGTACCCTTCAGATAACGAAGATAATAAAACTTTGAGAACATTCCGCCACTGTGCCTCATAAGTCACCGGGTACGGTTAAGCGATTTTGACATTAAAATACAGGTTTATTTACTTTGTACGATTTTGGTCGTACGATTCTTGATATCGTTGATAATAAAATTTTATCGTTAACATTCGATTACGAAGTTTACATACTTTAACTAACAATGAAACCTTTGTCGTTTTATAATTGACAGTCATAGCGTAAAATCGATTGATAGCGGTCGTGGATTCGATCCCCGGCAAAACAATCAAACTTCCTAATTGGTAGAAAAACACACACAGAAAACTGATCAGATACTTTATTACATTAAGTTTCTACTATATACTTTAATGGACGCCCTATTTTACAAATAATTGATAAATTTTGTAGAGATTTAGTTTACTTCGCTAGTATATACAACATTGTGTCTTTTTTATATAAGACATTGTCTCATTTAATATAAATAACTAAATTTACATTTAATTAATCCACAGAAACAACACATATAAAGTGATTAACGAAGGTACTAATGAAACACTACTAGTATTATAAAACGAATAATAAAGTTGAAAATAATTAAAAAACCTAAGATAGATTCAGAAGGACGACACATTTTAACAAGAAATAAGAATACAGAAAAAGTATGTAATATGAGTATGTGTGTAAAAATTGTAACGTCATATTTTCTTGTATTGTTAAGCATGTTGTTTTAGAACTTATAAATAAATATTCATTTTATGATCTTATATTTTGTAGTCCATATTTTTTATTTTAAATTATTTAAGAATCATGACACTCATATATTCTTACTATAGCTAAATCTAATTAAATTGACTCTGTAATAAGTCGTGTCGTAACTTATAAATCGTCCAATAGTTGTTATTATTGATGACTGTGGGGCAGATGGAAGGTTGTTGCGGCAAAAAATGTCGAAGCAAGCTCGGTATTTATTTTCTTCTTTAATTTATTAGTGAAGGCAAAGGAATAACTTTGAATATCGGAAAGCACACTAATATCTACGTTTCTTCAGATAGAAATGCATATTTCTTGCAAAGTATATTTCTCCGGAGAAAGAACCTATCGCTGCTATTGAGAGAAAATGTGAGCATTTAAAATTAGCTTATTGTTGTGCGAAACTATAAAAAGTAAAAAAAAACCATATAAAATTATAATTATTGTACTTGAAATTCTATCCGGTCTTATGTATACTTACCTACTTAAAGGGCAATGTTGGCCTAGTGGCTTAAGCGTGCGACTCTTATCCCTGAGGTTGTAGGTTCGATCCCGTCCGCTATGCACCAATGGACTTTCTTTCAATGTGCGCATTTAACATTCGCTCAAACAGTGAAGGAGAACATCGTGAGGAAACAGGTAAGCCTTAGACCCAAAAAGTCGACGGCGTGTGTCAGGCACAGGAGGCTGATCACCTATTTGCCTATTAGATTAACAAACGAATTTGAAACAGATACATAAATCTGAGGCCCAGACCTAAATAAGTTGTAGCGCCATTGATTTATTTTTCATATTCAATTAATAATAAAACGTTTCTTTATTTACTAAGTAGAGTGATAAGGGTAAAATATTAAATTATTGATTTATGGTGCGTAAATGCATTCAAGCTCCGGTTGTGCACCAATATTGTCATTGTATGAGCTCAATGACGACATCCAGGAGCGAAAACATGACATCTTGTCAGGCACAGAATATTAAAAAGTAATTAAAAACACAGACCAACTAACACTAGCTGTAAGCTACATATTTAAGAAAAGGTGGATTTTGAAAGTGGTTTCGCCAAGCAAAGGATTCTTTTTTTGGAATAAATTAACTCTTATTTTTCGGTACATTTGAAGAAATCTTAATGATGTAATAATTTGTACAAATAATGCGTCTGTAATGAATTTACGATGAAGGCGTATAATTAGGATTGCTTTAATGATAATTAATTTGTAATTATTAACACTAATATAAAGAAGTTGTGGGATTTTTGTGTTCGTTATTCTCGTGGTTACTTTTGGCTGTTTTATTGTATCTTTACAAAATGAGCAGATATTTGGTGGACGGAAACTGTTCCTTCAACCTAAAGGGAGCATCTTCGACCAGTAAGTGTATGATTTTATGGTACCTACTCATTGTAGAAGTTTGCAATTTATTGAAATCGCTAAAGATATTTTTTTAAATATTTAATTTGTTGAGATGTTTAGTTGGATAAAAAAAATGTTTGGTTAAGTAGTAATAAAGTAACGTAGGCCACGCTTTTACCGCAAATCCAGGTGAAGCCGGGAACATGAACTAGCTCATGAAACCGTGGTTATTTGTCGATTAATGTCTGGCAAATTCATTTTCAGTTTTTCTTATATTTAAATAACATAATATTAAAATTACAGACATTCTAAAATGCTTTGAAATTTTTATAAAAATAAAACTTAAAATCGCGTCTGGCACATAGTTAGCAACGTGAAAAATGTCTGGCAATAAAAAAAGTATGTCAGGTAGACGTATTTAAAAAGGAAAAATCAAAAATTACGCTTCTTAAAATGCAATCTTCATCATACTGCAATACTTTATCATTTTAATTCAAGACTTAACAATCGAATTAATTCTGGCAAATTCATTTTCAGTTTTTCTTATATTTAAATAACATAATATTAAAATTACAGACATTCTAAAATGCTTTGAAATTTTTATAAAAATAAAACTTAAAATCGCGTCTGGCACATAGTTAGCAACGTGAAAAATGTCTGGCAATAAAAAAAGTATGTCAGGTAGACGTATTTAAAAAGGAAAAATCAAAAATTACGCTTCTTAAAATGCAATGCTTCATCATACTGCAATACTTTATCATTTTAATTCAAGACTTAACAATCGAATTAATGTCTGGCAAATTCATTTTCAGTTTTTCTTATATTTAAATAACATAATATTAAAATTACAAACATTCTAAAATGCTTTGAAATTTTTATAAAAATACAACTTAAAATCGCGTCTGGCACATAGTTAGCAACGTGAAAAATGTCTGACAATAAAAAAAGTATGTCAGGTAGACGTATTTAAAAAGGAAAAATCAAAAATTACGCTTCTTAAAATGCTTTTAAAATCCAGGATTATTACCTGGACAGATAGGATGCGCACTAATGAACGCAACCGCTTCCGCCAGCCAGACTGCCCAGACTCTAACCGGAAGTGCAAGAAGGAAGACATATCACAAAATCAGCTGACCTGGAATTCTTTCTCGAAAACGTTGCTACCTCCCGTACTATAAGATTAAATACAATAATAAATTACCGAGTTTATTTTATTCGATTTTTAAAAATAATTCAGTTAGCTACAGGTCAGACACATTACTTTTTGTTTCATTGTTGCTTTTCATAGACATTGAAGATCTGTTTTGATCATGGCGTTCTGGGTCTAACGGGTAGAATTCAGAGTCGAGTCTTAGTGCGAAATCTGACTCCAGTCAAAAACGTAGGTTTCAAAGTCAAAGCTTCGATATGCCGGTTCTCAGGAACAAACAGGTTAATAAAGAAGAAGATAAAGCAGAGAAGAAATAATAATAAGAGAAGAAAGAAGAAGTTGAGAAAGAAGAAGAAGATAAGAAAGAAGAAGCTAGAAGAGAAAGCGTTAATGATATTAATTCAGTTTTTAGCGGTCATTTTAATATTACAGATTTAATTTTTTACTTAGTTGCACATTAATAGCACATTTTTTTTATAAAGACTCCTATAGGTACTTACAACACCATTTTTGGTTTATACATAAGTAAAAGTTAGACTAATAAGAATGTAAGGTTTGGTTTGGTAAAACCCAATCAATAGTGTCCCTGAACTTTCTGAATGAAAACCGATACATTGTTAGCAGAATTAACAAGATGGCCTATCAGATCCTATCCCAAACATTTTAATTGTCATCTTTAAAATGAACCATCATTATCATAATAATACTTAATGTGGCCACCGCGGACGACATTCCTGCCCCGCGTACAACAGTATACTGACAAAAAATGCATTTAACATGCCCATTGCCCACGCAAAAAAATATTTTCTTGCCATAAACGAAAAACCATCTCAAATATTTCGCCTCGCTTAAACACGTCATAACTGAGACGCGGATGGTGATAGTTTGGAGGTGGTATTTTCTATGAATAGAATAGGGAATAAATAATTATGAAATTAACCTACTAGAGGTATTGCTTTTTTCAAAAATATTGTTTAATGTTAAAGCACTCTCTTAAAATTTTTGAAAATATAAATAATATTTAAATTTTTCATAGTATATGACTGTTAAATATAATTATTAAAAAAAATAGTTATTCGATTTTTTTTCTTTTAGTCGAAATAAGCAAAATATTATAATAGATCTAGATCTTAGACATAGTATAAAGAAGTCATACCTTTCTCCAACACAATGTTAAGAAAACATTACCCTCTAATAAATGTTGAAATCGAGTAATATAATAAATTACCTTTTCCGTAATTCATACTTCCTTACACATCAAAATATCTGTCCCAGAAAGTACTCGATCATCAAAAAAGAAATACCACGGAGAAACAAAACGTACCTAATTACCAACAATTGCTCGCAACCGGTACGAATTATTTTCGACATGTCCAAATGCCTCGTATCCAATGTCAAACCTTATGCCAATATAATACAGACTATATTGAGTTTAAGTTAGTTACACCGTGCGTAATTTGGCGGGTAACGCCACGCCCGGTTTGATTTTTTAAAGTTAATTTTCGGTAAAGGTGGAGTCTTGTGGTACCACCTACATAATGGTTTTGTGTATTCTTGTCTTTGTACTAGGGGGACATTCATTAAGGAAAGTTTTCAATTCAGAGAGAAATTCAATCCTAGTATAAATATAAACAAAAAAAAATAAGTGTAATAAAATATTTATGAACAAAGTATATATTTACATACAAAACAGATACTTGATATTCTCAATTTAACGCTTTATAGATGTTTCCCTGGATGCAAGTTTAAGTGATTTTCTTTTTTTTACCTCTTTGGTCGCTCGTCTCTTCGTTGTTGAAAAATCTGAAAATTCAAAGTCGAGGACGTCCCTTATAATTATTGAATGTTACTGCTTAGACAGGTTATAACAACATGTGTATCTTCTAAAAATTAAAATCACTCCATAGTACCTAGTTTACCAGCAGTACTGTCGGTAAACAGGTTATGTATAAAATATATTTACCATATATGACTACTATAGATGCATGCTATGGGTATGCTAGTACAGGAAAAAACATTGTTTCTGTCAATGTTTTAATAGATAGTAAAATAACCCAAATATATATAAAAAAATGTCAATGAAATAGACGTAGAAATGTGTCCCATACCACACAAAAGCGTTCAGGAGCTTTATACAGAGTCTGTGATTACAATGAATATTTTTTTCTCAGTTTAAGAATCTTTAACTATACTGTATTTATAGATAATTTACCATCCTGTTTCTCCTTATCAGGACCAAACTGTACAACTGTTTGAAAATCCGCGTGGTTGCCATATGCAAAGCCGAAACCAATACGCGATTCTTCTGTTGCTGCAATGAAACTCGATATTAAATATAACGGACCCTTAGAAGTTCTATAGAAGTCTACAGTAATTAACAAATGTATCATCATTAATATAATCTATACATCAATCCGGTAATAATTGGGATTCTTCTACTGCCTAGATTTCAGTACATTATATTTACATACTAACAGTAGAAAGATTTTTTAATACATTTAAATATATAACGAAAATGCCGCGCAAAATTTTATGAAGCCGTTTAGAATATTTTTTTTAAATAACGGTAAACGTGCTGGAGCCTCATCTAATGTTAATTAATACCGTCGCCCAATGCCAGAGGACTCGCGAGTCCGTTGTTGGCCTTTTAAGTATTGTTACACTCTTTTCTTGAAAAAAAAAGTAACTTATGGTACCATAAGTCGACTTTGTTCGAAAATATGTACTTCAGTGGGTGCACGGTAAAAACTGCCTTAAAACTCTCATTTGTTGAATAAGTATAGCAAAAACCTAATTAACGTTAAACAAAAGAATCATAAATACCTTTTTTGAAGGGTGGTAAAAATTTTAATATAAAGTCTATTAAAGTTGATATCTCCTGAGGTACAATAATGGAAGCGCTTCCTAAAAACAAATAACTTTGTTTAAATGATAATAAACCCAAACTGAACACACTCTTTGATATCAGTGAAAGTAGTATCTTCAATCATTTAATCATACTAATTTTGGATGTGATTGTAAGCTACTTCCCTCAATTATTGTCTAAAATTGATTTTTTGATTTTGATAGTTAGGCTGAGCAAACCCGTATGCTTCCAGAAAGAGGCTTATACAGCTCATCTTACTTCGCTCTTAATTAATTTCTACACATGTACATCTATAGTGATGCGTATTATTTATATAAAATAAAAATAAAATATTAAATTGAAATTAATTTTCTTTTTATTTAAATAAATAAAATATATTTAATATAAATATAGGGATCTCTTGAATAGTTTGCCAAAGTTTTAAAGCATTCATTACAGCGTCGATCGTTACATAATATCAGGTCTCTCCTTGACGCCACAGCGAAACGACAAGACCCATTTGCCCTAATACAAGATTTTCTAGCTATTGTCCAACTTTTATTTAGATATTTACAGATTCTATATAAAAACGATCTAAATAGGTCACTTCTACATTATAAATAAACAAATTTGGACCAACTAATTCATATTTTTAACTTTGTCAGTGCGTTAAAACTTACCTATACTCTTGTCACAAGTCAGCATGTGTTTAACTAACACTTCTAATTTACATTTCATTGATTGATTCATTTTTTATTTTAAGGAAATTAAAATATTTAAAGAAGGTAACTTCTGTGGTTCAAAAGATTTGTACTAAATTGATGTATCTGTTCTTTATTTCTGTTAAAAAAAATTAAACACTAAATATTACAGGAATACACATCACAATAAGTGACACACGAATCTATTATAATACTAGATGACCCCGTGAACTTTGTTTCACCAACCTATATTTGTGACAAAACTTTTAAAACAGACCAAAAATCGGACCTCATACACATACTACACTAATACTATGAAATATTTCTGAAACATCTACAAATAAATAAACCAAGTGACAGTGACACATTTTATTTCTAAAAAGACGTCAAATTTCCCAACTAAGAACAGTTTTTATTGGAAAATTCAAATGACGTTTTTAGTATGTTTCTGTAGTTTTATTTACGTTTCCCACCAAACCTTAAACCTTCCCTGATCTTTCACAAATATTTCAAGATAATAATTAGAATCGGTCCACTCAGTTAGCAAGACTCCCAATTAATATATACAGGTAGGCCAAAAAGTCGTGGATTAAACGCAATAGGGGAAGATGAGGTCATCAGCGGCAAAAAATTGTTCTACGGGAGGTCTCTAGGGGCCGTCCCCAACGAGAGAATCGCGACGAGTCCGCGTTTTATCGTCGGGTAATCTCCAGAGCATTATTCTGCCACGTATCGTCCTTCTAACGGAATCACAGCGTTCCGCAACGACTCGTAACGGAATCGCCGCGTTTCTTTGACGACACGTTGTGCTCTTATTTTGTTCAGTGTTCATATAGAGTTCAGTGGTGCAAGACGAGACCGAAATAAGTAGTGTCTAAATCAGTCAATAAAATAATTATTTACTATGGATGTATTGTTTTTATTGATGTATGGTCACCACGTCGCGCCTCTCTGCGAGAGCGCCACGTTCCGTGGCGAGTGCCGACTGCGCGCCACCAGTAGCGACAGGCTCCAGCGATGTAATGACGTTTCGCCTCGCACTCAACCACCCGTCGCATCGCCGCGTTAAGATCGCCGTGTGGAGACACGTTCTATGATATTGTATAGAAATGTGTGGCAGGACGATTTTATCGTCGCGATTCTCTCGCTTGTGGAGAAGGCCCCTAAGGTCAACCCCTGCAGAGTTATGATTTATTTTGTTTTTTACAAACAAAATAAATCATAACTCTTTAACATTATTTTCATAAAAATAGACTTTTTTTTACTAATTCTTATTAAAATTCGAAAATATCTTCATCCTGTATCTTTTCCATAATATCCACTTGATTGGTACTGATGAGTTCTTGCGTTAGACATACTATTTATAGTTGTTTATTGAGTGTATTGAAGATAATATTAAGTTATACGATATATTTTTTTTTCTAATCATAACTTTTTGTTTACTTCGGACCCCACTGTGAAAAAAAATTACTCCACGGAAAAGTGACCCTGTACTACAAGTTTTGGCACATTTAATAGGGATTCTGAAAAGGTATTACACATGGCCATGAGTCGCTCTAAAATCTTTCTAGGAAGAATCACAAACAACGATTGTGAAATAATTGTATTAAAACAATTATTGTTTGTAGGAAACAAAATATTTTACAATAAATGCCACCCTATATAAATATAGATATATATAGATTGTAAAGCACGCCAAACGTCTCTTAAAAGTAACTGTGTTGGCCCTTTTGATTGACGCAGGCTGTTTAATAGTTGCTAGTCAAATGTCAGCATTCTCTTGCCGTAATCCGTGCGTATTTTTATACGATATCTTTAATAAATAAAATACAACTCACCACATGATACCAGAAGCAAAAAGAAAAATGAGATTTTCTCCATGATTACTTGATGTAACTGAATGTTCAAAAGTCCATCACCCGTAAGTTTTACTATAAAACTGACATAGGATTATAACTTTCACTATTAAAGTTAGATGTAATCTTGTGATGTAATTCTTATTGAATAAATTATATTTTTAACCGAGAAAATAGGAAACATTAGAATTAATTGTTACCTCAGAATCGTCAGTGAACCGGTATGTTGCCATCACCTCTTAAGTAGGTAATAAGATGATGAAGAATGATTTTTGTCTTAGAATAATTTCGTCATTAAATTATTATTACTTAATGATCAGAAGTTACTTTCAAGCTAGAAAGATTACTTTCTGTTATTTTTTTGTAACCCTAGAGTTACTAGTACTAAAAGTCTTCTATACGTACCTAAGGCTCGCTTATCTGCTACTTTTAATGTTCCAATGAATAGGCTATCTCGCTCTTACAACTTGATTACGAACATTGATGAAAATATTAACTTATTTTACAACAATCTTCCAAGTTACCGTATCTTTATTTATCATGCTCTTAATAAGGTTTAAGTTTCTATGTAGTTTTAGTTATTATTACTTTTTTAGTTATTACAATTTTTATTTTATTAACATACACACATACTCGTATGTGTGTGAAATTTGTGATGTCATAGTTTCTTGTATAATTTTATGCATACACGTTGTTTTAGAAATTATATATAAATTTTAAAAATACAATTAAAGCCTTTTAATTGTATAAAGAATATAATAATATGCCCATCTACCTCCTATGTAGTGTGTACTGCACCGGAGGTTTTTGAGTGTAACATGCCGTTGAGGTCCCGGTAGAATGCGACATCGACCCCGGAGCCTCTTGTACCCGGCTTTGTAGGAACTACTCGAGGTAATATTATGAAGACGAGTTCTGTATGTGTCTATCTCACTTAAAAACTGAACTAGTTTAATGAAATTTTTTACAGTTGTGACTTGGGCAAGAAAGTAAGTTAACTCATATATATTAATGGTTTCCTAAAACAATAAAAATCCTGGCCAACGTATACCACGCGGACAAAGCCGTGAAAAGTTTGAAGACGAAGGAAAAGAATACCATGGGTATTTTTCAATAAGATCTCGCATTTTCAGATATTTCGACAAGATTAACGTTACATAGAGATTTCTGGTTTTAAAAATGTTAGATGCAGGCCCAAACCCAAACCCAATACTCCCAAAAGGGTATGAGCACTCGTATTCTTATCTGGATTATTGATAATTAAGGTAAGTACGTTATCATACTTTGCCTTCCCGAAAATCACAGAGATTCAGGTAGTAGAGATTGTAACGCTTTAAATAAACTTGTAACTCTTCGACAAGTCAGCGATGAGCTTCTAACACCAATACAAATACAGGTTTGCTTGAAACCAAAAAAATGTATAAGTATCCTTCAAGAAAAGAGCGTACCATTTCTTAAAGGCAACGCAATTGCTAGTCTTCTGACAGTGTGAATATCTATGGGCGGCGGTATCATTTAACTTCAAGTGAGCCCGTTGGCCCCCGTTCGATAAAAAAAATCATAGTTAGAGTCGTTTTCATGAAAGAAGTCCCTCAGACGCGGCGCTGTAATCGCGTGACGTAATGTGGCCATTTATGAGTAAAAAATTTACCTATTTTACATTTAGCATACGTAATTTATCAAATACTATTTTCTGCATTCTTCGATGAAACAATATTTCTGTTATGTAAAAAGTATATTTTTATTTACTTATATTAGCGGTGTTCTACCTACTTACAGGGAAAAGATGAGAAAATAGGGTAAAGAAAAGCATAATTTTTTTTTATTCAGAGTTTTATTGAATAATTGTGATAAGCGGCCATAGGAACATCACTGTCTGAAGAGTGGATGGAAACAAAATCAGATTATGTTTCAGTATCACCAGCCGTAGATATAATTGTTATTTTTTATAATGATACTATTTCGGATGCGGGCGACTCTTCCCCGGGGTGACAATTTTTTTCAAAAAGTACCTGTTATGGCTGCTACTCTCTTCTGAACATTGTTTAGTGGTATTAAAACACCTTGATTCTTTTGTTCCGCTTCACAGAAGTCTTTCACCTTCAATATAATTTCTCGAGCCGAACTTTATACAACTTTTGGCATTGTAAACAATCTTTAAAATGCACTAAGCTAGTTAAAAACTCACAAAAATCTACCACAACAAACGAACTTGATAACATCGACGAACGACAACATGGCCGACCTGTCAAATTTAGTTCCAAAAATTTCCGCGGGACTTCTTTCATGAAAAGGACTCAACGATGAAAATAATTTTGTGACTTGTTACCACAGGTCGTCTATAGGTGCCAGCCTCTCACAAAGATGACCAATATCTGTATACATTACGTGTGAATTACTTAGTTTCCTTTTTGTTGTCGATATCTTTTTAATTACGTTGCTTTGGTTTTTGTTAAAATAAAAAATATGTTATCGTTAAAATAAAAAATTGTTGGGTGCACTTCAGGCCTTCCTATCGTAAAAAAAAATTCTGTACATTTTTCGTGACCATTTGTTTTTAAAAAAGGCAAGACACACGCTGTCGACTTTTTAGGTTACCAGTTTCCTCACGAAGTTTTCTTATTAAACCAGTACGGAGGGAGGACAAATATTACTAATCTGACGGACCTTAGTAATATTTGTAATATTTATGAAATGTATTGTATAACTAAGCAAAAAGTAATATTAATATTAAATTGTAAAGACACAAAATTGTAGAGGCAAAGCAACGTTATTACTATTTCACAGTGAAGACACTGAAATTGCTTTTTTTTCACTATTTCTATACATAGACATTATTTAACTAATCCAACTTCCAAACAAAGCTAATATAGGGTTTCTGAACAGTAATTATAAGTTTGTTTACGTAAATCTGTTTAATGCTTAGGAATAATTAAAGAGACAAATTTCCACCACACATTTATTCTAAATCAACATTCGACAGATCTTCCGTTATTTTCCGAACTTCTTCTTTACTTCTCTTTTCATTCTTCGCCTCCGTTTGTTCTGTGAAATTTTCTTTCTCTCCGTACAGTTTTTTCAAACTGTTCATTGCTGTTTTTGACATATTTTCCGGATGTGGCTGGTGTATTTCGTACTGGCCTTTATCGTTTTTCACCAATTCCACCATGGATTCCTCTAAGTTGGGTGTTTCTGTTTTTACTGGTTTCTTAACAGGTTTTGGATTTTTCATCTTCTGCGCCCAATTTTGAAGATATTTACCAGCCTCAGTTTGTAAGAACTGAAATAAATTTAATTATTTTAATCGATTTTATATCTGAATTTCGGTATACGTATTGTTTTGTTCAAAATATGTATTGGACGAAAACTAAAGTAATCAAAAATATACTAGATATATGTATTTTAAATTTAGAGTATTATTAAAGTATTTAAAATATTTTTGTAATTTAATTTAAAAAAAAAAAAAACATTTTATATTTGTAGTTTAAGAACACCAGTGACGCTGCAACCTTAAGGTTCCTGAGGCTCAGATTTCTGTACATTTTTCGTGACCATTTGTTTTTTATAAAAGGCAAGACACACACTGTCGACTTTCTGGGTTACCAGTTTCCTCACGAAATTTTCTTTCACCGTACAAGTTACTGTTAAAAGAGCATATTATAGACAAAGTCAATTGGCACAGCCGGGGTTCTACGACCTGGGATGAGAGTCACACGGTGGATCCACTAGGCCAACACTAGGTGCTCTTATGTTATTTGTTGTATGCACAAATAGAATGTATCAGTTCTAATGTGTAAGTTCGGGTACGATTGATAATATAATAAATTTAAATATATGTATTAGAGCCAGCTAACTGGCCAAATATTAATTGAAATGCTTGTTATTTTTATAAAATATAAATACTTTGTTAGTGTTATAACATCAAATTTAAACATTTTATATAGTTAAAACGAATTATTTTCACTACGAGAGTTGACTTGATTGATTGACTTGCTTGGTCTTTGTAGAGTTTTGTAAGTAAAAAATCCTTTGAAAGACCCAAGCCGCAAGCGTCTTCGTTTGAAAACTTTTCAAACATGTTCAATAAGTTTTGTATGTGTAGCGACACCTACATTCTATTTCTACAATCACTACGATGGCGTCTTACTCTGAAATGCGCTAACAAAGTTATGCCGACTTCTAAAGATATATCGACCTTAGCTATCCCGGGGGTGGATAGGTAAATCCCGAGAAGAGCGACGCAGTTCTCCTTGCTCTCACTCATTTTCGGGAAAAATTCCGCCTCAAAAAAGAGGTAACCGTTCCGTCCTTCCCTTCACGCGATTAACCACCCCGAGACAGCCCAAGTTGAGGACCGAGTCTCGCAGGAGATGCCCATGCGCTAGTCGCGGCAAAACGCCCATTGCGGCCGATCTACGCTCGCCAAAACTTAGAGCTTAGCTGTTAAGACCCTTAAGGCTAACAGCGAGTAAGTCAATGGCCAGTCAGTAGTAATACCGTGGTGGTAGAGTGGGCGAGAATTCTACCTTCAGGTTGAAGGAACTGTTCCTCCACATATGAAAGATGAGAACTACATATGGTTACGTACCTTTTCTCTATTCTTATTGACTTTTTCGACGGGATATGCAGCTTGACGCTTAGCATTTGTAGGAAAACCTTGGCCATCTGAAAAAAACATTAAAGACTTGATTTAACCTCTGGCAAGTTATTGGAAAATAATTTTCTTAAAAATATATATTTTAACATAATATATATATATATATTAACATTTTTATTATATTGGATATCCAAAAAATAAATTCATACAAAATAGATGCACATACTTATTTATATACATATATTTATTTTTATAACTTATACGGCGTTCAGGCGCTCTGAACTTTTCCTTTTACTAAGCAAATCTTACCAATTACTGCGCCAGCGCCACCGTATTAATTTTTTATTAAAATGAAATATGGATCTAGACTTGATAACGTTGCGGTTATGGATATACCCCGAATCGAGAGCTTATATTTTCAATCAAAT